TGTGTGTGTGTGTGTGTGTGTGTGTGTGTGTGTGTGTGTGTGTGTGTGTGTGTGAGTGTTATTTTTATTTATATATATATTTATATATTTATATCTTTGTTAAATTTTTTTTTTTTTTTTCTTATTTTTTTTTTATTTATTTTTTTATTTTATATATATATATATATATATATATATATATATATATATATAAATAAATTATATATATATATATATATATATATATATATATATATATATATATATATATATATATATATATATATACAATTTATTTATTTATTTATTTATTTATTTATTTATTTATATATATATATTAAATACCTATATCTAAACCAACTATATACTATAAAAATAATAAAAATTTTAAAATGTAATTAATCACCTATTTTAAAAATAAATATATATCATTTTACTCCAAAAATAAATGAACACACACACACACACACACACACCCACACACACGCACGCACGCATGCATGCACACACAAAAATTTTACCATTCTTGTATATATTGCTTAAAACACAAACAAAAGATATAATTAAAATATTTTATTTGCTAAGAAATAATAAAAAAAAATGTTAACTTAATTTTAAAGCTTTTAGCAAGTAAAATGAGTCACTAAACAAATTTCTGAGAACTAAACATGAACAGTCATGCGTTGATGATTAATTGAAACTGAAAACGACTGCATAATGTGTGGGTTTTAGTTTTTTTTATATAAATTATGTTTAGAGAAAGTTTATTTGAGAAAGTTCTGCGAGTTGTCATGGTCTGATAAACTCTTGGGATGAAGGAAAAAATAATATAAGCTGTTGTGTTTCTCTGTAACGATGAACTGGTTCATTTCATAGCTAAATCTGATGATGGTTCATTATTACAAAGTGTGTCATTTGATTAATAATGAATAGGAATATCTGATCTGCTGTCAAACAGACTCTACTTTTAATTTCTTTTTCATGCGGCTTTTTTCCAGGACAGGCTTACTTTACTGTCTGTTTTTCAGGACACACTATTTTATTTTTAATTTTATTTTCAAGCTGCTTTTTTTTAGGACAAGCTTCAAGCATTGTTACTGCTATTGAAATGGATAAGTTAGTAAATTGGTTTCCAGTGTATCTAGTAGCATACTGCAAATAATAGATGATTTATACTTACCCACAAGAGCCATTATATTCAAACTTCCCCTGGTTGAGCTGCATTGCCAGATCTGCACAAAACAACAGACTGAGAATCAGTGCATTGGCAAACTAAACATAATGAGCTAAAACATTGAGAAACTAGATTTGAAACAATTATTATTCATTCATACTTCCATAGTTACAGTCAAAACTTTCATACTTGAAAGTCAGCACATGATAACTTAGTTTGCTTAAGATAAAAAGAGTTAAATATTGTACAATTAAATATTTAATGTAAATGTAATCAAATAAATGCCACAAAATAGAAAATAAAATGTGATGCAATAAAATATCATACGATGAAAAGTAATAAAGTAAAAGGCAATAAAATAACATAAATGCAATAAAATAAACTAAAATAAAAACAGTAAAAAAATAAAATAATATAATTAAAAGCAATAAAATAAAAAATAAGCTAAAACATGTAATAAAATGTAATAAAACACAATAGAAAGCAATAAAATTAAAAGCAATAAAAACAATAAAATAAAAAGCAATAAAATAAAATATAATAAAATGCAATAAAATAAATCAATTCAAAAACAATAGAGCAATGAAAATAAAAGCAATAAAAAATAAAAAGCAATAAAAATAAAATAAAAGCAATTAAAATTAAATTAAATTAAAATCAATAAAACAAAAAACAATAAAAAACTAAAAAAAACACAATAATTAACCAATTAAATTAAAAGCAATAAAAATAATAAAATTAAAAGCAATAAAATTCAAATATGATAAAAAGCAATAAAATTAAACTGAATGAAAAACAAAAAGTAATAAAAATAAATGTATGCAAAAATAAAACTAAATAAAAAACAATAAAAATAAAAGAAATAAAAATAAAAAGCAATAAAAATAACATGAAATAAAAAGCAATTAAAATAAAATGAAATAAAAAGCATTAAAATAAAATGAAAAGCAATAAAAAACAGTATAAATAAAACAAAATAAATAAAAAAGCAATAAAAATAAAACAAAATAAAAAGCAATAAAAATGAAAGCAAAAAATAAATTAATAAAAATAAAACAATAAAAAGCGCAATAAATAAATAAAATGATATAAAAAGGAATAAAACTATAACAAAACCAACATAAATATTTTTTCAAAAATAAAAACAATATAAATGAAAGCAATAAAATAAAATAAAAAGCAATAAAAAAATGTAATAAAGAGCAATAAAAATAAAATAAAAAGCAATAAAAATAAAAGAGATAAAAATACAAATAAATAAAAATAAAATGAAATAAAAAGCAATTAAAATAAAATGTAATAAAAAGTATTAAAATAAAAGGAAAAGCAATAAAAATAAAAGCAGTGCAAATAAAACTAAATAAACAAAAAGCAATAAATATAAACAAAATAAAAAGCAATAAAAAACAAACAAACAAACAAACAAAAAGAAAACAATAAAGATAAAACAATAAAAAAGCGCTAAAAATAAAAGCAATAAAAATAAAATGATATAAAAAGGAATAATAATATAAAAAAAATAAATAGCAATAAAAATAAAAGCAATAAAATAAAAAGCAAAAAAAATAAAATAAAAATCAATAAAAAAATAAAATGAAATAAAAATCAATAAAAATAAAATGAAATAAAAATCAATAAAAATAAAATGAAATAAAAACCAATAAAAATAAAAGCAATAAAAAATAAAAAAGCAATAAAAGTAAAATGAAATAAAAGTAATAAAAATAAAAGCAATAAAAATAAAATAAAAAGCAATAAAACAAAATAAAAAATAGAAATAAAAGCAATAAAAATAAAAAGCAATTAAAATAAAATAAAAATAAAATTTTAATAAAATGTGCACACTAGGCTGAAGAATTTCAATGATTTTAACTACCATATAGTTTTAACATTTAATAAACGAATCCCATAAAAAATGAATAAAAAAGAAACTACCTCCCTGACCATACTAAGTATGTCCCAAAAGGGTAAATAATGTTATGGTTTATCTATGTAAAGCAGCTTTGCCACAATCTACATTGTGCAATATGTGCTACTGAAATAAAAGCTACTTGACCTAACTGACTTTATTATTTATTTTGACTTTATTAATAAGTAAAAAGTCTAGTACCAACACTAATAACAAAACGAATCAAAAATAAGTTCTACAGTACACTAGATGGGGCTAATAACTATCTTCATGAGTAAAGTGATCATCTATATTAAATGTAGAGCGATGTGGTTTTCTGAGTGTATTTTGTGATTTGTTTCAGGTGTCTCTGTCTGACATGATGAGTGGCACATCAAACTGTCTCAAACAGACAGAACAGAGGAAACCACAGACTGAAGCTGAGAGCAAACAAGAGCTGCAGGTGAACCAAGACTGCCTTCTCATTCACACACTGCTTCAAAGATGCCTTTTTGTTCAACATTACAGCAGATTCACACTCATAACAACACATCAGCTGATCTGTACTACACTACAAAACTAAAACGGACAAATGAACATTATTTGACACCTGAACAATGGATTTACAAGATACACTACTATTAAACATGTAATTTTTTTTTTTAAGAAATTAGTACTTTTACTCAACAAGAATGTATTCAAATGACGGAAAGTAACACTACAGTTTATGTTATTTATTTAAATATTTACATATGATCCAAGTTTCAGACTCCAGAGCCAATCCCAGTTTCTGACTGCTATAGAGCCAATCCAAGTCACTGGATACACTACAGAACCATTCCTAGTCCCTGACTCTGCTCCAGAGCCAATCCCAGTCCCTGACTTGTCTACAGAGATAATTTCAGTTCCAGACTCTGCTCTACACTACTCTGCTCCGGAGCTGATCCCAGTTCCAGACTCAGCTCCAGAGCCAACCCAAGTCTCTGACTCTGCTCCAGAGCCAATTCAAGTCTCTCACTCTGCTCCAGAGCCATTCCCAGTCCCTGACTCTGCTCCAAAGCCAACCCCAGTCCTGGAATCTCCTTCTGAGACAATTTCAGTCCCAATCCAAATGCCTTACTCTGAAGCAGAGACAATCCCAGTCCCAGACTCTGCTCCCAGTCTCTGGCTCTGCTCCAGAGCCAATCCTAATCCCTGGCAACATTACAGAGTCAATCACCAATCCCTGACTCTGCTCCAGTGCCAAACCAAGTCTCTGACTACACTACAGAGCCAATCCCGGTCCCTGATTCTGCTCTAGAGCCAAGCCCAGTCTCCGACCCTTCTCATGAGCCAGTTCCAATCCCTGACTCTGCTATAGAATCAATCCCAGTCCCGGAATCTCCTTCAGAGACAATTTTAATGCCTTACTCTGAAGCAAAGACAATCCTAGTCCTAGACTTTGCTCCAGAGCCAATCCCAATCCCTGGCTACACTACAGAGCCAATCTTAGTCCCTGATTCTGCTCTAGAGCCAAGCCCGGTCTCTGACCCTCATGAGCCAGTCCCAATCCCTGACTCTGATATAGAGTCAATCCCAGTCCCCAAACTTTGCTCCGGAGCCAATCCCAATCCTTTACTCTGGAGCAGAGGCAATCCCAGTCCCAGAATCTGCTCCAGAGACAATCCTAATTCCTGGCAACACTACAGAGTCAATCCCAGACCCTGACTCTGCTCCAGAGCCAATCCCAGCCCCTGACTCTGTGCCAAAGCTAATCCCAGTCCCTGACTTTGCTCCAGAGCCAATCCAAGTCCCGGACTCTGTTCCAGACCTAATCCCAGTCCCTGACTCTGCTCCAGAGACAAATCCAAGTCCCCGACTCTGCTCCAGAGCCAATCCCAGTCCCCGACTCTACTCCAGAGCCGATCCATGTCCCTGACACTGCAGCAGAGCCAATCCAAGTTTCTTGCTACACTACAGAGCCAATCACAGTCTCTGACTCTGCTCCAAAGTCAATCCCTGGCTACACTGCAGACCCATTCCCTGTCCCAGACATTGCTCCAGAACCGATCAAAATTCCTGGCAATACAACAAAGTCAATCCTAGTCCCTGACTCTGCTCCAGAAACAAATTCCAGTCTATGACTCTACTACAGATTCAATTCCAGTCCCTGACACTGCTACAGAGTCAATCCTAGTCCCTGACTCTGCTCCAGAATCAATCCCAGTGTCTGGCTGACTCTGCTCCAGAACCAATCCCAGTCCCTGACTCTGCTCCAGAACCAATTCCAGTCCCTGACCCTGCTACAGAGTCAATACCAGTCCCTGACTCTACTACAGAGTCAATCCCAGTCCTTTCTAAGTTCTGTTCTAGTTTGTCAGTGACTTTATGCTCTTCCTAAGAGTAGTTCATGTCTGCTGTTTCCTGTTCTGTCTTGATTTCTTGTTTTTCATTTACACCTTAACAGTAAAAACATCTGCTCTTAAATCCACTTCTTCTCCCTTCTTCCACTTGACACCATACCTTAAAGACTGAAGTGCATTTATTTGTCTAAAAAAAAAATAATAATTATTTAAATTAGGAAAGAAATTTATTTTCCCCCCAGGAAAAAAAAAGTTTGGAGCTAAAGGTCATTCATAAAAATACTCAGTAAGCATATTGAACAGCAGGTCAAGTCCAAACCGATCAGTGAAAACGTAAACAATGTGAAGTGACTGATGCAGATGGAGTCAGGCCAGAGCTGCTGAAGCATGTGTGCATGTGCAGTATGTGTGTGAGTGTTAAGGCTGATTTATACTTCTGCGTCAAACGCACGCGTATGCTATGGCTCTGACGCATAGCCCTTCGCCGTGGCTGTCGGCGTCGCTGATGTGCACCTCTCAAAAAATTTAACTACACGTTGCAACCACGCGTAGCACAAGCTCTGTGATTGGTCGGCTTGGTAGCGCTGACGAGTCTGGACGGGACCGAGAGCCGCGCGAATGGTGCGAGCCTGATGGAGTGATTGTTTACAAGTTTGGAGTCCCGCGAAGGAGCTCCTGATGGAAAGTTTTATTTTGTGTTTACCTTATAGTTAAAGTTGTTGCACGTCCGCCGGTTCCTGCCTCAAAATGAGCGTGTTTGAGGCATTTGTAGATCCAGGAAGTGTTCAGGAAAAGCAAAACAGCAGCGAAGAAACTCGACACAGAGGAACATTTACACCTCACTGCCCACTAGCGTTTCGGAAGTGTTAATGCAGATCAACAGAGACAGCGAACAGAAGTATAAATGCACTGCTACGCGCATTGCATGCGCCGTGGGTCACGCTGGTCACTTGATGCAGAAGTATAAACCAGGCTTTAGTGTCAGTGTATGTTAGTGTGGGTCAGCGCATTGTAAATGTGTAAGTGTGTGTATGTGTGTTAGTGTGTGTGAGTATTAGTGCATGTGTACCATGTGTGTGTGTGCAGGTGCTGTCGACACTACCTGGGGTCTGGAAGTTCAGGGAAACCATCTGGCAGCCGGCATTCCAGAAGATCTGTGGCATGTAATTACTGGAGTCCACTCGTCCTCCTTTGGGGTAGATGCGGCTCATCTGGCGTTTGTTGTAGCTGTGCATCTCATTCAAGGAAAGGAAAAAGAAAAGGTCTGGGGCTTTTCTGCCAGCATGGTGTTTTTAGTTCCTCATGCTTGAAGGCACACACACACACTACAAACACTCTTTGAACAAGCCTCTTTTGGATGAGAACAGAGGTTTGACGGATCTCTCATTATAAACTGCTCGACCCTGCAGTCAAGCTGCACTTCTCTGCTGTTTCACTGGCTTTACTCTTATTAGTAGCATTACACTCTTCTCACACACACACACGCACAACAGTCACGCGCAAACACACACACGCGCACACACAGCACACATTTAGCAATGGATAAGAATAAATGTACAAAAGTGTGACTCTGAATTAAAGTTATAATTTCCACAAATGTACTAATAAATAAGCCATTTAAATATAATAAAATAATATAAAAATTGTTTAATAAAATTATTGTAATTCTAATTATTATTGTTATTACTATTATTATTATTATTATTATTATTATTATTAATATTATTATTATCATTATTATTATTATTATTATTATTATTATTATTATTATTAGGAATAAAAATAATAAATAAATAAATAAATATATATATATATATATATAAATAAATAAATAAAAAATAAATAAATAAATGAATAGATCCCTAAAGAGAAAATAAAGGTAATATTGAGATTTTTTTTTAAATAAATGATTCCACAGTGCATTTTTATTATTTACTCCTAAATCAAATGATATAATTAATATAGCTTCCACACATCAGGTCAATAATTTTGCAATTGATTTGTCAATTAATACAATAATTATTGCAACAACAACAAATACAACAACAACAACAACAACAACAACAACAACAACAACAAATAAATCACCAATAAAAAAGGTATTAAAACTGTGCCTGGAAAAACAAAAGTAAGTGAAAACCATGCAAAATATCTAATTCTTTGACCTCATGCGCCCCCTGGAAACAGAGACGTGAACTACAGCTTCAACTGCAAAACCATCAATGCAGCAAAAAAAATAAAATAAATAAATAAATAAATGAATTAATTAATTAATTAATTTATTAATTAATAAATGAATAAATGAATAAATAAACAAACAAACAAACAAACAAATTAAATAAATAAATTATGTATTTATTTATTAATAAATAGTAATAATAATAATAATAATAATAATAATAATAATAATAATAATAATAATAATAATAATATGATCACGCTTTACAATAGGTTTTCATAAGTTAATGTATTTACTAACACTGACTTTATGAACAACACCTGTAAAGCATTTATAATCATCATTTAGCATTTACTAATGCATTATTAACAAAAATAATTAATGATTGTTAACATTAATTAATGCACTGTAAGTGAACATGGAACTGTAAGTGAACATAAATGTATTTCCATTAACCAACATGAACAAATACTGTAAAAAAAACTATTGCTCATTGTTTGTTATTGATAGTTAATCCCTTAACTAACATTGACTAATGCAACCTTTTTTGTAAAATGTTACCAGTAATACATTGCATTTATAATGGCATTTTCTTAAAGTCAAAGTGCGAGAATCTATACAAAGAAAATATTAAAACCAAAAGAAATCTAAATAAACTTGCATTAAAAAAATAAAATTGCACCACAATAATCAGTAAAAACAATAAATAAGCCAAAAAAAGGTTTACAGTGCATTATGATTTTAAGTGGTAAATCATAAATTAAATGCTTTACTAAAAAAGAAGAGTATTAAGGAGTTTCTTAAAGTAAAAATACAAATAAAAACAAAAGTTTTTACATGTGAATAAGCTGCAAAAAACTGATATGAGTTATATATTTAAACCAGGGGTGTCCAAACTTAGTCCTGGAGGGCCATTATCCTCCATAGTTTAACTCGAACATTCATTAACACACCTCCCTTGGATGCCTCTATGGCTGCGTCCGAAACCGCCAACTACTCAGTAGGTGCTGCATTTGAATTTGAACGTACTACTCGGCCATTCGAAAATTACGTTCTATACAGTATGAATGTGTAAAGTATGAATGGAATTCGGACGTTCTACATCCGTCATATTGTCAAGGTCACGTGACCTTCCTGCGTCAGTTGCGTCGCTTTACTTCCATTCATGAATTCGCTCGCGGGGCATCATGGGATAGTGCAGCATACATGGGATGCGCACTCTAGAGGTCATCCGGGTACTTCAAGCATACTGATTTTCGAATTCTATGAATTCGGACATACTACTCGGCTTGCATACTGATTTTGGCGTACTATATAGTATGGAAGTATGCGGTTTCGACGCAGCCTATCCTTTCTATTCTACCTAGTAAGAGCTTGATTAGCTGGTTCAGGTGTGTTTAATTGGGGTTGGAACTAAAATATGCTGGACACCGGCCCTCCAGGACCGAGTTTGGACACCACTGAGTTAAACCACATCTAAATTTAAAACAAAATGTACATTGCAATCCTTTTGATTTGAAATAAAAATGACAATGTGCAGCTTTAAATCAGCCCCTTAAAATGAACAGCGTTTTAAGAGTCTGATGTACTGTATTTGTGTGAGATTAGCATGCCAAAAAAAAGGATACTTCACAAACTCGATGGCGTTTGTCCTCAAATATCCCAAACCGACAGACTCATTGAAGGAAGACATGTTGTGGTGGATATTTTTTTCTGAGTTTATACAGAAGAAATGTAAACATATTACAGTACAACACAAAAAGAAACACGAGGATTCTGACTAATAAAATAACCGATGAGTTGATATTAGAGCACTTATACTTGCCCTCAGCCTCATCAAAGCCGGTAAACTTTACAGCCTGGGCGTAGTTGATGATGTTGGACAGATACGGGTGGATGTTGGTGGTGGCCGCGACATATGTGTACGACTGAATCACAGCCAGTTCATCTGCCACATTCTCCTCCTCAGCCTGGAAAACAACAGCAGACAGTCTATAACTGTAATAAACACAGTATACAGTGCTCAGCATATAAGTACACCCCTCACAAATCTATCTGCATTCATTTTCTTTTCTGCAGAAAATGCCCAACCTGCTGCAACCCAACACTGGAAAACACACATACACTCTTTCAGTCACACATATACTCTATGGTAGAGATGTAACAGTATCAGAATTTCACAGTACGATAATACCTCGGTGTGAATGGTACAGTACGGTATTTATTGAATAATTTACAGGAAAAACAAAATAATGAAAAGAGTCGAAAAAAGCACCAATAGTGTTTATTTACCTTCGCACTGAACATATCAATGACATACAAATTAGCCATCTATCTGTAAGTTTCGAAACAGGAACTTCAATTTTTCAATTTTAATAACGAAAAAACTATTAAACCATATAAAAAAAAATTAAGTTTCAATTTAGTTTGTTGAAAATCACATTCAACATTTAATCACTCACTCACTCAGATAGAGATGGGTTTTTAAGGAAAATGATCATATAACTATAATCTGGTAAAAGCTGGGATCTCTGGGCATGTCCCCTGCAACAGAAAAAAAACCTCTCATTTGGGACTGAGGTTTCTGGGACAGAGAGATATGATTTAGCCAAGGTTGACAGCAGTGGGTAATGTTGTGCATCGTCTTTCCACCACTTGAGAAGACAATGAGTGAGATAGAGGTCTCTTTGCGGTACAAGTCAATGTCTGCATCAATCTAACTGCTGTGTTCTGCAGTCCCCATGACTGTTTTTAGTCGTATTCCCCGACTTATATTTCACCACAGTCTGGCAGTGCCTTCATACTGTTTTTGTCTTTGTCTGTCACCTTTTCTCCTTTTTCGTATCTTTTTAGAAAGAAACCGAAATGCTTCCACACATCTGATTTAAAACCCGCTTTAGGTTCGATCATTTCCAGCTCTTTTTCTTCATCGCTACTAGCAACACACTCCATTTCCACATTACTGGATCTGTAGTGACAACAGACAACTAGTCTGACAACTAGTCAGTCTAGACAACTAGTCTGATGGCCACGCCTAGTCCGCTTTATTTGCCTAAGCAAACTTTTCTCAGAAATATAGTTTTATTGAGTCATGCGCCTACGGTAATATTGAAAAAAATTACTATTGCGGTATGATGGTATTTACAATATTGTTACATCCCTACTCTACGGGAAATTTAGTATCTTCGATTCCCCTGTAGCACATGTGTTGATTGGACTCTGGGGGGAACCAGAGCATCTGGAGGAAACCCACGCCAATATGGGAAGAACATGCAAACTCCACACAGAAATGCCAACTGACTCAGCCAGAGTTCGAACCAGCAACTTTTCTTGCTGTGAGGCAATTGTGCTACCCACCTAAATTTATATATTATAGAAAAATATTTAATACAATGTTTCAAAAGCAGCAAAAAAAAAAAAAAAAAAAAAAAGGAAAAATTTAGTTGAAATTTTGTCGGTTGTAATTAATTTTTTTCACAATATTTTGCTTGAATTTAATAATTTTATGTTTTAATTTCTAAATATGTTTGGTGACTAACATACAATTTTAATAAATATATCTGGTTAATAAATCTGGTTCGTTTAAATGTACCAAAATACATTGCCTCTATTTACTGAGAAATGGAGAAAAATATTTATTTTCTAAATGGGGTGTACTCAATAACGCAAAGCACTGTATCTATGGCAAGCCATTTTGACATTTAAATTCATTATAACCCATACTAGCATCTATTTTCATGTTACTAGTACTTATTTTTAGATACTAGTACCTTTTACATTAAGTATTCGTGCTTATTCATTAGATACTAGGGCTTTTTTAATATATACTAGTACTTATTCATTAGACACTAGGGGACCCATCATACACCCGGCGCAATAAGGTGTAAGACATGTTTGGTGCAGTTTGGTGCTGTTTATAGACCAGCACAACCCTAATTTTCCTGTATTGCACCATGTTGTTTAAATAGCAAATCCATTTGCGCCACTTTGTGGCATGTGTGTGTGCTGGTCTGTAAAGGAGGTGTGTTAAGACGCATTGTTGGCACGTTGCTATTTTAAGTAACTGAACTTGACGACGGCATTGACCAACTTAAAGCTGCTTTAAAGTCCAGCGCAGAGAGCACGTTAGTTATACACCTATGCAGTTCCAAACGCTTACACATTGCTTAATACACACAGGATATGCAGCAATACACAAATATCTTTACAGATGAAAACAATAAAGGATTAAAATTTCTACATCAATATAAAAAACATTGCCTCCATGCCTTCATCTCGGGGGCTTTTTCAATTTATTCATGACAATCTGCATTAGTATAATATTAATAATATTAGCAGTAATATTTATTATATGCATATTTATATTTGTTTTAATCAAAACAAGCTTAGATTAGTCCACCTGTGGGATTTTGGAGATGTCTGCATCACCATATGGGGCATAAGAACAGGACGTGTGTCTAAATATAACTCATAAAGCTTAATTATTATTGTTCGTTTATTCATTTACTGGTAATTACAACTTCAATTAGAAATAGTTCTGATCAAATCTTTGCACTTAAACTAAATAAAATATGTCAGCTAATGGATGTCTTTATTGGAGTGAGTTTCCACCGTTTCCTTACTCCACCAAAGTAAAGGAGTAAAGAGTAAAAGTAAAGAAAAAAAGTAAAGGCCGAATGGAGGAGGCTCGTTCTTTATCCTCGTGCTGCAGATGCTCTGTTTAACAGTTTTCTTGTTAGTGAAGCGTTCAGTTTTTCCACTTACAAAGTCCACCATGTAAATAGCAAATGCGCCATGCCACAATGCAACTCTTAAAGGGAATGGGAGATGAGACTCTGATTGGTTTAATGCACACTATGCTCAAAACACACCCAGAACTCATTAAGAGAATAAGCTCAACCCTGTTAGACCATGCAAAAGACCAAACAGCAAAAGTGGATTCAGACTTGGACTTAATGCGTTTGTGCCATGCGCTTTAGACTTTGTGCTTAGATCAGTAAGATAGAGCCCAAGTTTTTTAATAGATACAGTACTAGTACTCATTCATTAGATAGTACCTATTTAATAGATGCTAGTACTTATTTATTAGATACCAGTATATTTTGAATAGGTACTAGTACTTATTGATTAGATTTTAGTAATTATCAAATAAACACTAGATATTATTTATGACATGTTTTTAGTATAGTTTGCAATAATATTTAGATTATTTAATTTATAATAATATATTTTCTTGACTTTAATTTACATTTAATTTGTTTCAGCATTTTTTTAATGCATTTGCAGTTTTCTTTTTTTTTCTTTATGTTTTCTATTTTAATTTACTTTTCGGGGTATTTTTAGTATTTTGTTGTTTTACCGTGACTTTACAGCCAATATTATTTAATATACAATATATTTAAAATCAGAAGAAGAAAAAAACTGAAACAAGCAAAGGGAGTGTAAACGATTACAGAATTGTCATTTTAAGGTGAACTCTCCCGTTAAGCATCGCTATCAAGTTCCACTTCTGACATGTGAAGTCTGTGAACTTTGCGTGCTCAGTTTGAGGATGACACTGAGATTTCTATCATCAGGAGAAAAGGACAGTAATGGGTGAATCTGGCAGGAAAATAAAAGCATCTTCAGTCCATTATAGTGATCAGAGGCCCAAAGTGAAGACGCTCCTCAACACATGATGAAAACCGTGATTCTGTTTCAGTGACACTCTTTGAAGAAGAAGAATAAAGCTGTCAGACGAGTGTTAATAAAGCAAACCGGGCCAATCTTAAAAACACATCTCAAATATAGAAATGATAAAAGCTTTAAACGAGAAAAGTAACACTTTACTCACACACCACTTCATTTCTTTTGTAGAAAAATAAAGATGTCTGGCAAGATTTTTTTGATAATAGTTTTGACAGTAGTATAGAGTGACCAAAGAGGATAAAAGGCTGGGTTATAATTGATAACTGAAGCTGTAAAATAATGTAAAAATACGCAAACAAATATGCATAAATGTTGAATGAAATGGAATATACCGCAGGTTTTTACATACACAAATGTTGTTTCTATTTTTGTTTCCTTAAGTAATAAAACAACTAAAACTAAAAATTACACTATAACTGTTATAAGTGAGACACTCGCACCGCTCTCTCCTGATACTGATACATAAACAAACTACATTGCCCATCAGCCTTCTTAAAAGGAACTGATTTCATCAACAGCTGATGCCCATCACACACACTATATATACTCTCCTCACCCATCAGTCCATGTGAAGTCTTGTTTTGCTCTGCGCACATTTCTAAGCTGTTCTGCCCAGTGGGACGTGTTGTACTATTAGGATCTCTAGTGGTCTACTTTAGTATTGCACTATGAACCAGGAAGTTTCTGTTAGGACCTCTAGTGGTCTACTTTAGACACCAATTGGAGGACAGTACATTGAAAAAGCAGTTCTTGCCATGGAGAGTATAGAACACAAAGATTATTGCAGCAAAACGATCTCCTCCGTGTGCTCCAACATATTCAGAAACTTCTTGGTTCATACTGCAATACTAAAGTAGACCACTAGAGGTCCAAATAGTACAACAAGTCCCACTGGGCAGAACATAAGCGTTTATCCTGGTTCGATTATCCCATGTTTTAGGGCTGAGCAATTAATCGAAAATCCAGTTTCGATTTAGATTTTGGCTTCTAACGATTATGAAAAACCATTAATGGAGATAAACGATCAAACAACAAAAGGAGAAAATCCCTCACTGCTCTTGACTGAAGGACTTTTGTAGCTAAAGTGTTTTTTTCTTATAGTGAAGATGCTTACATCACAGTTAAACAACATATTTAATATCTCAATTTCTAATAATCGTTTTCTTTAAAGGGTCACGAAACACCATAACACATTTTTTGAGCTGTTGACAGTCGTATATGTGTCCCACACTGCTAAAAACACTATTAGGACACCTATATTTCACTAAAAAGTGTAAATTGGTTGTTTTCGTGTTATTTCAAGCAAATTCGTACTTCCGGTTTGAAACTAATTTTTGAAGCTGCGTCACGGCCATGAGATAATAGCGTTATATTCCAGCGTGCAGACTGGACGTCTGTGCCAGAGTGTGTCTTATTACGTCTTACAGTGTGTTGCATTAATGCATGAGTAAGGCTTGGTTCAAACCAATCAGCACGCTCTATTGTGCAACTTCATTAATATTCATTACTGTCAAAGTGTAGACGGCAGAGACGCCACGTTGTGTTGGCAAAACAAGTGTAAAGTGTTGCTTTTATAGTTTGCTGCCGTTAAGTTTTGTTTTCATTTTCTCTCTGTGAGAGCGCAGCTGGAATGACGTGTAGATTAACAGTGTACGCGACGCGCGACAACAATAACTTACGTGTCTAAGGAGGATTATTGTTTACCTGAGAGCTGTTCTTATCTGCAAACGATGAGATCCGGATTCGCTTGTAGTCTCCTCTAAATAAAGACGCGGCTCTAGTTGCTGGTGATTGTCCTGTCTCTACAGATTTGGTAAGTGAGCGACCAGTGCTCTTTGTTTATTCAGATCGTATTTTATTCGTATCAAACAAACTATTGCACCGAGTGCAAACAAGTTAGCACTAACAGTTACAACCAAACTATAACCTCGTGTTGGATATTGTGACCGGAATAACACACGCGGCTTTCTGACACTACCTGCCGTGGGCATCTAAGTTTCAGGGAAATGTTGAGTTTTTTTTTCTCTCATTCGCCGTGCGGTATCAAACATTGCATGAAAAATACACACTTAGAGCCGATCCTCGAATCAAATATCACGTTTGTCGCGAGGGACATGAATGAATTCCCTGAATGAAAGAGCCAAACTGCAGTTAAAGTCCACCATTTAATAATTTGGCAAATAATTCGACTACAGATGTCCATGTAAACACAGTCACATTGTCCGCTGTGGTTGTGTGTTTTGACTCTAAAATTCAGCGCGCCCAAATAGACACTCCCACACCAAGCCTCTTTTCTTCCTCCGACACTCCCCCCTAAACAGAGCTGGACACGCCCACTTTTCTGACTTTTTCCAAAGTAGAGGTGTGAAAAAACCCTGCTGAAACGAGGGGGTTTCATGGCCCTTTAACTTTGCTGTGATGACAGTAAATAATATTTTACTAGATATTTTTCAAGATACTAGTATTCAGCTTAAAGTAACATTCAAAGGCTTAAAAGGCACCTGTGGTGAAAAATCTACTTTTCAAGCTGTTTGGACAGACATATGTGTATATATAGTGTATAGACCATCATATTGGGGTGATCTAAACAAACCCAGTCCTTTTTTTTCAATTTAACAACATAAAAACGGTGGACCAATTGGAGCGGTTTTCAGATCGACCGCAACTTTACGTAGGAGTGCGGTCCCCCTGCCCACCGAATTGATTGACAGCTGCACATCAACATGTCCCGTTAGTCACGTGTATATGATATGTCAACAAGACCAGACATACGCAAAGCAACCGGGAATAAAAGGTCTGTTCTGTTCGCTAGGATCAGCAATCATCATTAAATGTGATCAAGAGTGAGTTTCACATGTTTAAAGTGTTTTAAAACAGTGCATGTGTGTAATTAATTATAGCGATTTAATTCAGCTTCATCAGCACAGCCGCGTGTCAGTTATAAAGGAAAAAAACAGTTATAAACAATTATAAAGGAAGACGCTTCAATCCCGGTTTGTAGACGTTAAATCAGGTTTATTTTGTATAATAACATAACAGTTATCCACACAGCAGTGTAGATTAGCCTGTATCCTGTCACATTTGAGTGCAAAAACAGTGCAAAGCTAAGTATACTGATACAAATACTGATTAATAAAGTTCTTACTGTAGTATTTCTCACAAACTTTACGTGAGACCTTCTTCCTTTAAGTCTGTCTGTTGTCTGACGCAGCCGAGGGAGGAGATTAAAGCACGCGGGAAGGCATGTGGAAACAGTAGGCGGGAAAGAATCGTCTTAAAGGCGCAGTACGACAAAACCACCCCCTGGTGGAAATATGTATAAAACAGGATCTTGTAAAAGGTATAATGAAAAATCTGATGGGTGTTTTGAGCTGAAACTTTTCAGACACATTCTAGAGACGCAAAAGACTTATATTAAATCTGAAAAAAGGGGTAACCTAGGTGCCCTCTAACTAGTGTAATTAGGCAAGTCATTGTAGAACAGTAGTTTCTTCTGCAGACAATCAAACATGTTTTACTTAAAGGGGCTAATAAAATTGAGCTATTAAAATAGATTTCAAAATATTTAGATCTTTAAATATTTAAATATTAAAATAAAACAAATAAGCCTTTCTCCAGAAGAAAAAAATATTATTAGAAATGCTGTAAAAAATCCTCTGTTAAACATTATTTGGGAAATATTTATATATAAAAAAATTTTACAGAAGGGCGAATAATTTTGACTTCAACTGTATATCGTTTTGAATAATCGTGACTACAATTAGGACCAAAATAATCGTGATTATGATTTTTCCCCATAATCGAGCAGCCCTACCGTGTCTACCCCTGCCTGATCTCAACTTCTGACTGTTAGCTGCCTACCCCAACATTAGCCTGCCCTCTGATTTCCGACTATTAACCACCTGCCCCGACATTAGCCTGCCTTTTCGAACTCTGCATTTGCTGTTTCCTGTTGTCTTCGCCACAATACCTATAGTGCATATTTGTATAGTATACATTGATTCATTCTTTTTCCTTTGGCTTAGTCTCTATTTCAGAGGTCGCCTCAGCGGAATGAACTGCCAACTATTCCAGCATATGTTTTAATCAGCGGATGCCCTTCCAGCTGCAACCCAGTACTAGGAAATACCCAAACACACTCTTACATTCACACACATACACTACGACCAATTTAGTTCATTTAATTCACCTATAGCAGTTTGGACTGTGAGGGAAACTGAAGCACCCGGAGAAAACCCATGCCAACACGGGGAGAACATGCAAACTCCATAGAGAAATGCCAACTGGTCCAGCCGGGGCTCGAACCAGCGACTTTTTTTGCTGTGAGAAGACAGTGCTAACCACTGAGCACCCATGCTGCCTATATTGTATACATTATAGCTATTTTGTAGTTTTAAATTACAAAAGCAACAGATAAACAATTAAATCACAAATAATAATCAAAGTAACATTAAAACAGAAACCGTGAAGAGCCCAAATAAAGCAAATAAATTATAAAAATACTCAGTCAAATGATCACAGAAACTGTTGAATATAATACTAAAAACTAAATTTTTTTTATTGCAAAAAATACTAAAACTAATTAAAATGTAATTGAAAATAAAGAAAAATATTTACACAATGAATTTATTAATACAAACTACACAGAAACATTGAAAAAACAAACAAATACTAATAAAAAGTAAAACAAAAACATATAAGAATTAACACTAACCAATAAAAACAACAACTATAAAAGCAAATTAAATGACAAAACAAAAGTATTAAATAAGATTCAAATAATACAAAAAAATAATAATCATGCAATCTTTGAAAATAAATAAATAATATTAACCATATAAAACTGATTGATTAAAACATAAAACTGAAATAGAATACAATAAAAGTTGAACTGTGGGGGAAACCGGAGCACCCAGAGGAAACCCACGCCAACACGGGGAGAACATGCAAACTCCAAACAGAAATGCCAACTGACCCAGCCGGCACTCGGGCCAGCAACCTTCTTGCTGTGAGGCGACAGTGCTAACCACCTAGCCACCTTGTCACCCAAGAAAAACACAAAGCTCAAAATCATAAAAAACTATTTTCTAAATATTTATGATTTAAAATATGACTTCAAACTACAATATTTATTATTTCAAAAAAACTCCTGACTCCAGCATGTTCATCTGTGCTGAATTAATCTTGTATTAACCCTAACGTAAAGGTGATTTACGAACCTTTCTGTGTCTTAGCAGCACCTCTTCCTCTCGATTCTCCTCCTCAGTGATCAAACATCCGTGAATCCGCTCGGGATGAGCTTCATTCAACAGCTCAGCTGAAGATTAAAAACATTTCATTAAAACAAACAAACAAACAAAATATATAGACTGAATATAAAATGATGCCATGCTAGTGCAGAACAGACAAGCCTAAAAGGGAATTCAACTCTGTGTGAATGTGGATGTAAATTAACACAATATGAATCCGGATGTGAATAAACTGATTGTGAATGCAGATGTAAATAAACTGAATGTGAATGCAGATGTGAATAAGTGAGGTTTTACAAACTAATTTGAGAGGAGCATGTGATGTGATTGAGTATGACTGGCTTCCCATCTGTAATGAGTAATAATCCAATCCGAGTGACCCAAGCTTACTATAAATAGATCGTTTTCTCCCTACTGCTCTATCTTCATTTTGGAAGGATCCCCCTTTCCACCCAATCTCCTCCTTTTCCTCCCTTTTCTAAGAGGGGGCTTTCGAGACCTACCTTATCTCGGATCCCCTTATATGCTTACTGACTGGATGGGAGCCTTGGGCTCAAGCATCTCCGAGCTCAGGGTTCTCTCCCGGGACACGGGAACTCTTGAAATTGAATGTGAATGCAGATGTGAATTAACTGAATGTGAATGCAGATGTGAATAAACTGAATGTGAATGTGAATTAATTGAATGTGAATCCAGATGTAAATTAACACAATATGAATCCGGATGTGAATTAACTGAATGTGAATGCAGATGTGAATAAACTGAATAATAATGTGAATTAAATGAATGTGAATCCAGATGTAAATTAACACAATATGAATCCGGATGTGAATTAACTGAATGTGAATGCAGATGTGAATAAACTGAATGTGAATTAATTGAATGTGAATCCAGATGTAAATTAACACAATATGAATCCGGATGTGAATTAACTGAATGTGAATGCAGATGTGAATAAACTGAATGTGAATGTGAATTAATTGAATGTGAATGCAGATGTAAATTAACACAATATGAATCCGGATGTGAATTAACTGAATGTGAATGCAGATGTGAATAAACTGAATGTGAATTAATTGAATGTGAATGCAGATGTAAATTAACTGAATATGAATCTGGATGTGAATTAACTGAATGTGAATGCAGATGTGAATAAACTGAATGTGAATGTGAATTAAATGAATGTGAATCCAGATGTAAATTAACACAATATGAATCCGGATGTGAATTAACTGAATGTGAATGCAGATGTGAATAAACTGAATGTGAATTAATTGAATGTGAATCCAGATGTAAATTAACACAATATGAATCCGGATGTGAATTAACTGAATGTGAATGCAGATGTGAATAAACTGAATGTGAATGTGAATTAATTGAATGTGAATGCAGATGTAAATTAACACAATATGAATCCGGATGTGAATTAACTGAATGTGAATGCAGATGTGAATAAACTGAATGTGAATGTGAATTAATTGAATGTGAATGCAGATGTAAATTAACACAATATGAATCCGGATGTGAATTAACTGAATGTGAATGCATATGTGAATAAACTGAATGTGAATGTGAATTAATTGAATGTGAATGCAGATGTAAATTAACACAATATGAATCTGGATGTGAATTAACTGAATGTGAATGCAGATGTGAATAAACTGAATGCGAATGTGAATTAATTGAATGTGAATCCAGATGTAAATTACCACAATATGAATCCGGATCTGAATTAACTGAATGTGAATGCAGATGTGAATAAACTGAATGTGAATGTGAATTAATTGAATGTGAATGCAGATGTAAATTAACACAATATGAATCCGGATGTGAATTAACTGAATGTGAATGCAGATGTGAATAAACTGAATGTGAATGTGAATTAATTGAATGTGAATGCAGATGTAAATTAACACAATATGAATCCGGATGTGAATTAACTGAATGTGAATGCAGATATGAATAAACTGAATGTGAATGTGAATTAATTGAATGTGAATGCAGATGTAAATTAACACAATATGAATCCGGATGTGAATTAACTGAATGTGAATGCAGATGTGAATAAACTGAATGTGAATGTGGATGTGAATTAACTGAATGTGAATCCGGATGTGAATTAAATGAATGTGAATGCAGATGCAAATTACCTGAATGTAAATGGAGCTGAATGTGAATGCAGATGTGAATACACTGAATGTGAATCAAGATGTGAATTAACACAATGTGAATCCAGAAGTGAATTAACTAAATGTGAATGCAGATGTTCATTATCTGAATTTGAACGCAGCTGAATGTGATTGCAGATGTGAATTAACTGAATGTGAATGCAGTGTGAAATAACACAATGGGAATCCAGATGTGAATAAACACAATGTGAATCCAGATGTGAATAAATAGAATCTGAATGATGTGAATTAACTGAATATGAATGCAGATGTAAATTAACTGAATGTGAATCCAGATGGGAGTAAATAAAATGTGAATGATTTGATTGAACTGAAGATGAATCCAGATGTGAATTAATAGAATCTAAATGATGTGAATTAACTTAATGTGAATGCAGATGTGAATTAACAATGTTAATCCAGATGTGAATTAATATTGTGAATCCAGATGTGAATTAATAGAATGTGAATTACTAGAATGTGAACACAGATGTGAATTAAGCAAATGAGAAAGCAGATGTGATTTAACAGAATGTGAATTCAGATGCGAGTTAACTGAATGTAAATCCGGATGAGAGTTAACTGAGTGTGAATTGACTGAATGTAAATACAGATGTAAATTAACTGAATATGAATGCGGATGTGAATTAACTGAGTGTGAATGCCTATGTGAATTAACTGAATGTAAATGCATATGTAAATTAACTGAATGTGAATACGGATGTAAATTAACTGAATATGAATGCGGATGTGAATTAACTGAATGTAAATGCAAATGTAAATTAACTGAATGTGAATACGGATGTAAATTAACTGAATATGAATGCGGATGTGAATTAACTGAGTGTGAATGCCGATGTGAATTAACTGAATGTAAATGCATATGTAAATTAACTGAATGTCTATACGGATGTAAATTAACTGAATATGAATGCGGATGTGAATTAACTGAATGTAAATGCAAATGTAAATTAACTGAATGTAAATACAGATGTAAATGAACTGAATATGAATGCGGATGTGAATTAACTGAGTGTGAATGCCGATGTGAATTAACTGAATGTAAATGCAAATGTAAATTAACTGAATGTGAATACGGATGTAAATGAACTGAATATGAATGCGGATGTGAATTAACTGAGTGTGAATGCCTATGTGAATTAACTGAATGTAAATGCATATGTAAATTAACTGAATGTGAATACGGATGTAAATTAACTGAATATGAATGCGGATGTGAATTAACTGAATGTGAATGCGCATGTCGACTCTCACCGGTGTTTGTCTCATCCTCGTTCTCATCTTCAAACAGGTTTGTGGAGACGCTCGGCTCTCCGGCCTCCATGTGTTTCCTGAAGTCCTCCAGCTGTTCTGCGCACGTTAAAACATGGTTGACTCATCAAATATGCTTCAAACCTTTCTGCGTTAAACTATTTGTAAGGTATATATATGTCACTACTTTTTTCAACTTCAGGTTTTAGTCTTCTGTTCTTGATGAGGATTTTTCCTTTGAGGTCATTTGGAGACGGCAGTGGACATCCAGGCTCCATCTTAGGCCAAACAAAAGAAACTAAAACTTCAAGCAATTGGTTTAAGCCCATTTAAAAAGTACACAACAGAAGATTGATTGAAACAAAGTAATTAAACACACCGGGAAATCCTCTAACGGCTGTTTCAAAAGCAAATCTCCAAAAATGTCTTCGCAGTAACGAGCCAGTTTATACTGCTGATGTTTCCTGAGGAAAAAAAAACACTGCATTTATTTAGTAATTATTTATTTTTCTGGTTTGTGTGAAAAAAGAAATGAATAAACAGTTTGATTTAAAGTTTATTTATAATGCCCTTTCAGTTGCAACCTAGTGTTGGGGCCCATACACACTCATTCAAACACACACACACACACACATTTACTATGGACATTTTAGTTTAATTAGTTCAATTCACCTATACCATATGTGTTTGGACTGTGGGGGAAACCGGAGCACCCGGAGGAAACCCATGCCAACATGGAGAGAACATGCAAACTTCACACAGAAATGCCAACTGGCCCAGCTGGGACTCGAACCAGCGACTTTCTTGCTGTGAAGCAACAGTGCTAACCACTGAGCCAACGCGCTGCCATTTTTTAATATACACAGCAAAAAATAAAAATAAAAAAAATTGTTGAAACAGAGTTACTTTTCTTGTTATCTCAAATTACAGCACTTCACTCTAACTATTCACTGACTATACACATTTAAAGAAGTTGATCAATTTTACTAGGTTTTTTTTTTTACTTTTGTGTTTTTTTATTTTCATTTAAATATGATCGTACAATCATGTTAGCTTATAAAACCGTTATGGAATTGACAGCTATTAAAGCTGCAGTATTAAAGTTTGACACCCAGTAGTTGAATTAGGTATTATAGTCCTGGATCAAAACAAACGCAGGCGCAGGTTGCCAGATTGAGGAGCGAGTCTGGCTTGGTAATGGCATGCGATAGAAGGAATATTTACCATACTAAAAGCAGTTTTTGTTCTAGCCAACACCCGAAATTTATATATTAGAAAACAGCTTCTATTTCTTCCATCTGAATAACAGGATAAACCGTGATCACCTCAGGTACACCTAATGCGGTTTATTCAGTGTTAAATGCTAATAATGCGAGTTTGAATGTCATTTTACATGACATTTATTGCCATACTACTGAAAGCAGCAACAGATAGTTCACCCCAGATCTGAAAACTAAATTAAACTGTTTGAAATTGAACTTCAGAACTGTGAAATAATGCCAACACATGATTCAGCATGTACATTTAATGATGTTCAAGAGATTTAATATGTATAAATTAGATTATAAACGTTACCATTTTATGAGTGAGTGCATATTCTGTGCTGCTGAATGGCTGTGTTTACATTCCTGTCGTGTTTTGCCTGGTGCAAACAGCCAAATTGCTTATCATTGCAAATCTCGTCATGTAGTATATTGATAGGAAACGGGGTTACAATGTAAACTGCTTACCTAATGTTTACATTCGTGATATTTATATTATTTACTAATTAATAACCACCTCTTATGGAACTGAATGCACATCTCATTTCAGAAGCTGCTACTGTCCACCAGAGGTCGCATTTTGGTCATGGACGCATACTTTCAGAGCCTTTTTGAATGACTGAATGAATGAATGAAATACGCGATTTTCCAGCAAGGCAATCCGGAGTGCTGAAATATAATTGGCTAAACTGGCAGTGCAGGTTAAAATGACCAAAACAAAGACGAAACACATTTTCAAAGCAGAATATCTGACTTCAGCATTGTTTTTAAGATAAACAAGAATGTCCACTTAGGATGTTTCTGAAATATTTGCAAACATATTATGGTATTTTTATGTTTTAGAAGAGTCAAAATATTACATACAGCACCTTTAAATTTATTCCCAAATAAATAAAGATATCAGTTAATTTGTTAGTAAATGTTAGAAATGCAACATAATAATGTATAATTAATATATAATAGATAATATATGCAGCAAAATAAACATTTTTATTTTCATTTTTTTAATTTTCTCATTAGCTCAACTTACATTAGTCACATTAAAAACTAAACAAAGCAAGTTGTATTTTGTATAACAAAATCAATTTGTTAAAATATGATTAAAGGTGCTGTATGTAGGTTTCTGACTCCTCTAAAGCATAAAATAATATAATATGTTTGCAGATGTTTAAGAAACATGCTCAGTAAACATTCTTGTTTATCTGAAAAACAATTCTAAAGTCAGACATTCTGCTTTGAAAACGTGTGTTACGTGCCGGATCGTCTGTCTTTGTTTTGGTCCGTTTAACTCACCCAATTAGCCAATTATATTTCAGCATCCCGGGTTGCCTTGGTGGAAAATGGCGTATTTCATTCATTTTGTAAGAAAGGCTCAAAAAGTGTGTGACTGTAACCAAAATGCGACCTCCGGTGGACAGTAGCAGACTCCGAAATGAGATGCCGATTTAAGGTTTCTCATGAGGTGGTTATTAATTAGCAAATAATATCAATATTAAGTATGTTTACATTAGGTGAGCAGGTTACATTGTAACACCGTGTTCTAACAACACACTACGTGACGAGATTTGCAGTGATAAGCAACTGGGCTGTTTGCACCAGACGAAACACGACAGAAATGTTAATACAGCCATTCAGAAGCACAGAATAGTGCACTCACTGCACTCCAACGAAATGTTAAGGTTTATAACCTAATTACTGTATATTAAACCTCATTGACATTATTAAACGTAAATGCTAAATCACTGATATGTTGGTTTACACTGAGTCACAGTTCTAAAGTTCAGTTTCAAACAGTTTATTTTATCTTCAAGATCTGAGCTGAACTATTAATAAATGATATAATGGCAATAAATGTCGTGTAAAATGGCATTCAAACTCACATTATTAACATTTAACACTGAACAAAGCACATGAGGTATACCTGAGCTGATCATTGTCAGTTATTCTTAAGAAATAGAAGCCTTTTTAAAAATATATATTCAACCCGGGCTCATTGTGGAAACGTAGCCCCGCGGAGGTTTCTGCAGACCGCGAAAAGACGTCCTGGGAGGTACGTATTCGAGCAGTTTTAGTTTTCGCGGATCCGCAAGAGGCCGCTGTGCGCGCTTTTTCGCGTCTCGAACGCCTCTCGGGAGTGTGCGCCGTTCGTGCCCTCGCTGTTCTCGCGTGAAAAGCCACCGGATGTTGCTGTGGAGCAACCGTCCGTCCCACTGACTGGCTGAACAACTGAACGATCGACCGGGCGGCCGGCCAATCAGCCGACCCGGCCGCCCTCCTCTTCCTCTTCCTTCCCTAAACCCAAGCAACGGTTTGCAAAAGCCGTCTAGAAAAAAAAAGCAAAAGCCCTTGTCTTTGATTTTGACCGCGTTTTCAGATCTCGCCGCGTTCTCGCCCTTATTTTTTGGATTCTGTTTTTCATATTACCTGATTCCTGGAACCGGTCTTCCCCGGACTCAATCCCCGTCGTCTCCGTGGCCGGCTCCACTCCGCCGACGTAACGCACGAGCTAAGCGGACAAACTGGTTGCAGCGGGAAAGCCCTCCACACGGAGGCGAGCCGTCAGCCGGGGAGCGCGAAGAGGAGGAGCAGAAAGGCGTCACACCGTCCCGTAGCGTTCGCTCAAAAAAAAAAAAACTAGACGCGGCCATACGTACCTCCGGCCACGTAAATCGCGGTCTACAGAAACTGCCACGGGGCTACGTTTCCAGAATGAGCTTGAGTTGTATATATTTCAAGTATGGTTAGGACAAAAACTCTTTTTAATGTGGAAAACATTCCTTTTATTACTTGCCATTGCTTTTAGTTTGAAAACAGTTTAAATCAGCCTTAAATCAGCCTTTAAGCTTAATAGTCAGGCACACTTGTGTCAATCTGACAACCTGTGCTTGCATGGACTCGTTAGAGGAGAAGCCGAGTGAAAATGTGTTTTGATCCAGGAATGCAATACCTAGTTCAACCACTGGGTGTCAAACTTACATACTGCACCTATAACTTGTTATAATATATAAATTAAAAATATATATTATCAGTAATAATGAATCTAAGGATAAACATACGTGCAGTGGTTTTCAAAGGACAGGATCACAGGATACTCTGATGTCAGGAAGGCGGTTTCTTTAATTCCCTGAATCACATCCTGCATAAAACATACTGTAAATGTCTCTTTCAGTCTAAACATTCACTAAAACAGCATAAACACAAACACATTTACTTGATCACCTCATGCCCCGGACAAACTGATAATATCAGTTATGTCTGCTATGTTTCCATCCAAAGTTGCGAATTTAATTTACGCACAAATTTAAAATATAGCATAAAGCACCTGCAAGAAAAACTTTGTCTATTCAGCATTTTGGAAGAGATATCCTAGAATGCACATAAAAATAGATGAGTGAACAAGGCTTTTGATGAAACGTTTACTGTACCTTGAATAGGACGTCTGTACACATGGCCTTGCCGTGGGTGATTATGGGCTCCTGATCTTCACCTTTTCCATCCCAGCAGTCCAACTCAACACACCTGACAACACAGTCAACAAGTCAAAGATAAACGTAAGATGACAAGCATTCTGTGCATACATTTTTGAATGTAACAGTTTACAATAAGGTTGTTTTAGCTATAATGGTGAAAAGAGAACTGAAAAAAAGACCTTTTAAAAGTTCTCAAGAGTAGTGAGTATAACACTGGGAAAGATTGATGCATTTACATGTAATTTGTGGATGTGTGTAAACCAAGCGGCAACCTCCCGCTCTCTCTCAGGAAGCCAATACGGAAGTAACTAAAACTGCAATTCATCCGAAATTCCGCTAGTCCTGGCCGCTCCTGGCTCCAAAACAGAGCAAATTTCAATTGAGCCCACTGTTAGAAAGGCCAACTTTACAGCAGAAAAAAAGGTGTTTACAGCCTGCTACAAAAAAAGGTTTTGGTTAATACAGCTAATATTACCCTTCATGACAACTGTGAGGGGGTGAATTTTTTTATAACTCATCCGTTTCCTTTATATTAAGTTATATTAAGTTTGCATAATTAAGGGCGTGGCCACTTGAGTGACAGCTAGGTCTCGTTGGTCGCCGTCACATCACTTCAGCTGAATCCTGCAGATTAGCCACTGAACTCGGCATATTTATCGTATTTCTGTGATGTTTTATGTGGCTTTACACAGTCAACTGCCTTTTGGACTTGTTTCCTACAATTATTGGATGGCATGGTATGCTGAGAGCACTTAATTGAGCTCACAAACCATTCACGGGGCCTCCGTTTCCCATGTGAGTAAAGTTATATACTTATATACCATCTCTATACATGTATTTGTTTTATTTAAGATCATTTATCGTTTATATTTATATTTAGAGCTTTAATGCACTCCAAAATCTGACAGATTGATTAGCTGTAGGCTCTAGAACGGTCATCTGAAGCGTTGTCATACAGTGTTATGCTGGATTTCATCAATAGTCTTACATTAACTAACACAGACTATATCTGAAGTATTTGGAAGTAATTCGCGTTTTCCTCCTGTTGAAAAACGTCATAAGAACAATGTTTAGTGGCTCAAAACACTTTATTGATATAGTATACAACCAAGCACATGTGGTCAGAATACAAACGAGTCACAGGTGATAAAGTATTAAGCGTTCTCCCAAAGTAAAGTGTGTCTGAACCATGTCTAAGCTAAATGCTAGCAGGTGTCTGTAGCTCCGCTCACTCTCCGCCTCTTTGCCCTTGTTTGGTATCCAGCCGTGGGTGTGATGACGCGCGAACAAAATGGCGACGGTTGGCCGCGCCTACTTGTGGCTTCTTTTGCGCTCTTTAGAAACCTATGGGTGACGTCACGGATACTACGTCCATATATTTTACAGTCTATGGTGTAAACGTAACATTCTGTAGTGCATTTAGTTATTGCTCAGCAGGCACACAACGTCATAAGACGTTAATATTAGGTTAGATTTAGGTTGTGATGTCAGGTCAAAATTCAATGTCTAGGTAGCCTCCAAGGACAACGTTATTTTGATGCCCAATAACAACATCAAATGACGTTGATATTTGGTTGATTTAGGTTGTGTTAGAAAGTAACCAAAATTCAATGTTGAGCCAACATCTTAAACAAACGTCAAATTGACGTCAAATACTGAAATTTATTCAACAGCTATGGCAACCAAAATCCAACGTCTGATAGACGTCATATTGATAACATCCACACATTGTCAAGCTGTAACATCATTAGACGTTGACATTTGGTTGCTTTTAGGTTGGACTTTGACGTCGTTGGCCTGACAATGGGGTATGATGTCAATCTGACGTCTTGTGTCTGCTGGGCGTGTAAGGCCATTTCGGTCATCATACATTAAACACCGTCATCTTCTCATCTGTGACATGCATCTCTGTGCAGTCTCTGTGTCAATACGTGTAAAGATTTTGGACATCTTCTTGGACACATTTAATGCTTCCAAACAGTTTGCTGCGATTATAAATCGCCCATGTCTAGAAGTAGTTCATCATGATGCGATTTACCTTCTATGTAGGATTTGATTGGACAGGAATCACTGATTTTTCTAATCCAGATAGATAGGAAAAAATAAAGTTGCGACTGCAGGTTGAAGGAATGTAGTGGAGTAAAAGTACAGAAACTGCACTGAAATGTACTCAAGAGAAAGTAAAAGTATGGATTGTTAAAACTACTTAGTACAATTCCTGAGGGAAACTACTCAATTACAGTAATTTGAGAAATTGTAATTAGTGACTTTACACTACTGATTAGCTAATGCTAGTTAATACATTTACTAACCTGAACAAACAATGAGCAATACATTTATCACACAGTATTTGTTCATGTCAAGTAACTTGGTAACACTTTACTTTGATGGTCCTATTGAGTATTAGTAGAGTGTCTGCTTAATATCAGTTGATACTGCTCCTTCAACAGACATTTAACAGGGTATATGCCGAAGCATGCTAATGGGACTTTTAATTTGCCAGTAACCTGGGTTAAGCGCTTCGGGCGAACTGTGCCAATGCAAAAACCAGCACGTTTAAGGTCTGTTTTCTTTAAAAATCTGCGATCTCCACTGGCTGAGTGATATCTGATATAAAGTGGGTCTCAAATTGTACAAGAAGCACTGCATTAAATTACATTTCCATATACATGTCTTTATAATATGAGCATTTATTTTAGCCCAGTATTTTCAATGGAGCTTCTGCGCTAGCCTGCCAATTCTGACGGGCGCCTGCGAGTAAACAGATTTTTGTCTCGTTTTACGCTTGAGCAACTAAATGAAGGCCAGAGTTTATTTAACTAAATGTATTTTAATGACATTACAACATCGATGCTGTAAAATTAACTGTCTAAAATGGAAAAAAGTTCACAATAACAGGTCACCGGAAGTTTATCAGAATGGGAAAAACACTAGCTCGGCATATACCCTACTGACTATAAGAAACTTTTCAAGTACATGTCAGCTTACACTAACCCTAACCCAACCTAACAGTCTACTGATAATCTAATGAGAATTATGCCTAGTTCACACTAGAGGATTTTAAGCCTGATTTGAGCCCGATTTGGAAGTTAACGAGCTCGCCGACAGATCGGGCTGTGATCGGGAAGAAATCTGCGCGTGCACGGCACTCGCTGCTCTTTATGTGTGAACTACTGAACAACGCATCAACGAGGCTCGCTGACGCGTCGCCGACACCTCGCAGACGGAAATCCAACATTCAGCATGCTAAATATTCCGGAGCAGTCGGCCGACTCAACCCCACGTGTGGTCAGATGTAGTGATGAGCTGCAGCCAATGAGAGAGCATAT